AAATAAAAAGAGCAAAAAGAAAGAATTATTAAAAAATAAATTTGAAATTACAAAAAGATCGGATCATAAATCAACCGTTTAATTAACTTTACCTTTTCACGATCAATGGCCAGTTTCTTTTTCCCACTTGTAGGAATATTTTTTTCAGTCATTTGTTTTAAAAAAAGATTATTTTATTTAACGGGAAATCCCTAAATCTATTATTTAGTAAAGTATACAAGAAACTACTACGCGATAAATTTTTTAGAGTTTATCCAACGTTACTCAAATAATAATTTACTATTTTTTAAACTTTTTTACAAGGATTAATATCATCATAAATAATTAGTGTTTGGGAAAAATAACTAATTAATTTAATTGAAGTCTTTTTAGCTAGATGATATGCAACTGCTCGATATATATTTCAATCTAAAAAATCAATTTTCACCCATATTATTGGTATTCAGGATTAAATGTTTTTTTTATGCTTGAAATATTACTACAACTATGGAACCCAAAGATCCTATAAAAATCTAACGGTTAGAACTGCTTTCCGGCATGCTACAGCTGATGGTGCTAGTGTAACTACCATCAGCTATAAATGAGGCAGAAAAACCAACTCTTACAAAATGGGTCAGTGAAGGCGGCGGTGGGTTAGGAGTCGGAGCGGGAGCGGGTGGTGTTGCTGGCGGTGGCGGCGGTAGAAACCTCCATACAGGAGTTGGTAAAAATAATAATAATATCAGAGATTATCGTGATAGAGAAAGAAATCAGGATATTGAAAGAGATCGTGATCATGGTAGAAATGCATTAAGAGATGATAGGAGAGGAGATGATAGGAGAGATGATAGGAGAGATGGAGTAAGAAATTTTAGAGATAGAAGAAGATAAAAGCACAAATAAAAAATAAAATCATGAAAATAACTTGTTCCATAATCAAAGGTAGACTTGTTATTTGCTACCAGTTTATTATATTATTAAATTTTTTTTGTTGAAATGAAATGTCGAAAAGTAGATTATTAATGAATTTATAAATTTCAATTAATATGCATTTAAAATGTCCTAATTCTGTCCACTTTTTAAAAATATGAAGGCTTCCTGGTAAATCTAATCATATAATTATGATTTTTCAACATACAGGCAGGCTTTATTTGATCTTGGATCAAAATAATGAAACTGATTTGATAATTTTTGGCAATAATTACCTAAATGGAAAGCACTGAATTTATTTTCATATATAAAATGTCCTTTACATTTTTAGTTTTATAACAAAAATCTTTATAAGAATTGTTCATTCTATCGAATGACTTTTAAATTGAGGATCTTGAAAATGATCTCGAAATTTCATGATATAGGCGGCCTACGTTATATTTATACATTAATGCCTTTTAGTTTCAATATAATAAATAATACAAGTTCGAAATATCTTATAGTCTCCAAATTTAGTAACGTTATTTTCCCATAATCTCCATTCGCTTTACCAAATGATCCACAAATTTCTCATCTAAAACTTTTCTGGGAATAGAAATATTTTATCTATTAAACTTCTTGCAAACCTTCTTCTTGATCTCGATGTTTCATCGTCTGCTTCCACTTTATCATCTACCTTATTAATAATTGAAAGATCAGATTCAGGCGGAAAGGGTATTGGAAGCTTATTTTTAGTTCCAATATGTGTAGATGATGGCAAAAAAATTGGTGTAGTGATCACTCTGACTGCAGCTGCTCAATTTTCTAAAACCCAATTGTAATTTAATAATCAAACGTAAAAATTTAAATAATACATATATTACTTGTTAATAGTAGGTGCTCATAATACTTTGTGGACCAATTTAAGAAAATTTTAATATCTTGCCATTTTGCTCATAGTCATCAGAACCAAAACTTTTAGCAAAAATGTTTTTAATATCGTGAAAGATGCGAACGACTTGAACAACCAGGTAAATTGTCATACGGTTTAGCCGTAAAACATGACATAATTCCATATTTTATAATGTCAATTTGCTTTGTTGCCAATTTAAAAAGGGTGGCACTGCCATATTCATAGCTGTTGAATATGAAATCACTGCTTCATAAGCACCAAGCCCTATTTATACAATAGTTATTATAATTGACTAATTACAATTATAATTTAATCTCTATTGTTAGCCTGTTCCTGTGTGTAATCATTATAAAGGTACGCCAATAGCTTTAAGTTCGTCAAGTATATCATAAAAGAAATTTTGATTTGAAGTCAGGTTATTCAAAAAAAAAAAAAAAAAAAAAAACAAAAAAATGAATATGATCGTTGTTTAAAAATCAAACCATTCAAGTTTTAAGTTAAATCAACGTTCGCTTACAATAATAACCAAGCATTCCTTAAGTTAATGGAGTTGGTAAGACATAATTTATTTTGCTAATAAATTAGGATCCTCTATAAATGATACATAATTACAGTATATATACATATAATTATAACTAAAATTCCAGTCAACCTAAAGAAATATATATAAATATTTAGATCAGATTTACCTTTGCTAAAATATCACCATAGCCTTCCTTTTAAGCGTAAATAAATAAATGAGAGAGAGAGAAAAATATTTTTAAGAACATATTATTTTATTTCCATCAGTCAACAAATGAAAATAGTCTTCTATTTTTTTTTGTGCTATCCAAAATTGTGGAGCTTTATTCTACCGTTGATAATACCAATGTTGTCTGATTTCAAAAAATAAATTATCACCAAATTGCCATGATACATATCATATTAATGTAGACAATATAATCCACTTGTTAATTTCTTTGGCAAGTTTTGAGTTTTTGAACCTAAGTTAATTCGTTGGCCTTAAATGATCTTGTAAATTAATTATATTGAGCATGTAATCTAAAATCATAGTATAACTTTCAAGATCAGGATCCTGTGCTAAACCACCATAGCTCAAAATATTTTTATGAGCTAAAACTTTCATATAATCACGCGGAAAAGAGAAATTAGTCGTTATATTTTTTTTTTCTTTGAACTGATGACATTTCTCCAACCAGCTTTGCGAAACGATCAAATTGGAAAACGTTGCAAATTATGTAACAAATTTGGTGTTGTGACACATTCACGACTTATATTTCTTCTAGTTTCAAAAATTTTATTTTCAAAAATGATTTTTTGATAAAAATGGGTCTTTTACTTTCAAAATTATGGAAAAAACTTACTAATACTGAGGAAGTAAAAATAGTAATTGTTGGACTGGATAATGCTGGAAAAACTACCGTTTTATATAAATTGTAAGCCCATCATTATTCGGCAATGTTATATATTAATATTATTTGTAAAATAAATCAATCAATTAATAAATTATTAATTTCAATTAGATTATTAAATGAAGTAGTGGTTACAACACCAACTATAGGTAGTAATATAGAAGTAAGGAAAAACTATATGTAAATTCATTATTTTATATATATTCTTTATGTGAATCTAACATTATAAATAATTTTAATTATAAAGGAAATAATTTATAAAAATATACGTTTTTTAGTATGGGTAAATATTAAAAAGACAATCAATAATTTTTTTATATATAAAATAGATTTCTTTATTTCTTCTCACAATATTATTAAAAATTAAAAATTTAAAAGGATCTAGGTGGACAAGATTCGTTAAGAGCCACATGGAAGACATATTATGTAAAAACAAAAGCTGTGATAATGGTGATTGATAGCACAGATAAGAATCGACTACACATTAGTAGAAAAGAACTACACACAATGATGGAAGATGAAAATCTAGTGAATTCAGTGTTGTTGGTTTATGCTAATAAGCAAGATATGCAAGGTTCATTATCAGCTGCTCAAATTTCTGAAGCTTTAAATCTCACAAGCTTAAGAGATAAACAATGGCACATACAGGTAAATATTACGGTGATTTGATATAATGATGATGATTTAAATAAATAATATCAATGATTTTCTTAAAAATATTTTAATGATATATATATATATATTTATGTATTATTTTTTTTTTAAAGGCATGTTGTGCATTAACAGGAGAAGGGTAAATCTTAAATCTTAACAATTAATGAAATTTATATTCTATTATAACTTTATTCAGATCATATAATTTATTTTATTTTTATTGATTTTTTATAGATTGTTTGAAGGTTTGGATTGGGTTGTAAGTCAAATAAATGCAGAGTAATTTACCAAAAAACGTTTTTATTTAAATTCATTAATTAAAGGACAAAAAAATTTTCATTTTAATAATAACAATTATTTAATAATAATGACAATAAATATTACCAGACATAATTTAGTTTTAAATTAAAAAAAAATCTTGGTCACCACTACTTATTGTTATAAGCTGAAACTTTACGACACTTTTGTAACTGTATAAGTCATTGTTTGAATTTGATATTTCAAGTTCATATCCCAACCAATGATCACGCGGAGTCTCTAACTTTTCGTTTTCTTTCTTTTAATCTGATTTCTTTTTGCAGAGATTTTTTTTTGATATACAGTATATTAATATTTCTTTGATTTCTGATTGTGATTAATTATTAGATTTTGGAATAATTGTTGTAAATGATGTAGTGTTGATGTTTCGATATGGTTTGAAATCTCTATTACTATTAATATTGTTCAAATCCCCCGACTGTGAATCAGGAACATTTTCACCTTCAACTTCTTCAACCTTCTTGTCGTCACTATCATTGCTATTATCATATTTCTTCATTTAAATGCAAAGATGATAGCTATAAAATCTAGATTGGAATAAAATACTATATTCATTATTAGCATAAGGGGAGTACCATTGTGCAGAGGTGAAGTCACACGTATGATTTGAGGGTGTAATGCGACTGTTTACCACCTTTCTCAAGAACTTATACACCTATACAAACTATCAACACCAGTCAATATATACTGACTGAACAACACTTTCAACGCACTCTCAATATCGGAAAGATCCAATGGATGACTCTCCTGGTCAGGGAGATTTAACAACTAATTGGTCATTATGTCCACTTGTTAAGTTACCTTCCATCATCATCATTATTCCCATCTAGCACATCTAACGATCATTTATATCAGATCCATTATTATTTATTTCATCGCTACCATCACTACCATTTATTTCTTTCTCCTCTTTGTCATCATCATTAATCTTACTGAAACCGTCTAATTGATTTACAAATATATCTATATTAATATTAATCACTTCCTCTTCTAATTCTATTTGTTGTTTCGTTGTGAATCAATTACCAGATGCTTGAACATTCATGATTCACGTCCAATTAAGGTTTTGGGTATAACATTATATTTTGAAAATATGATCCACCTTTATTTATTTAAACAAATCAATCAAAGTTGGTTCACCATTATCTTTTAACCAGTATGTTGAAGTCACATGAATCAATCCATATTGAGTAAATATCAGAGTATAATTTTCCTGGTCCTTTACCCGACATCTTAAAATTAATTAATAATAGTTTTAATTTTCTTTACTATTTTTTTGATTGATATCAACTTTCACATTTTATGGCATTCAATATTGATACATGTATTCATGAAGCAGACTTGTGATTTTTGACAATTGCTCAAAATGAATACATTCAAGTATTGTAATGCCAATAAATAATATATCGATTAATTATCATTTCCCAAAATGCATTGTTTATCAGCAACCATAAAATATAAATTTATTATTAATTTATTATTTAACAATGAAATCTACACTATATAATTAAGTTATGAATATACCAACCAGGTTCTTTTCGATACTCGATTTTGAAATAAATCTTGAAAAAGTTTTCAATGTCAAATAATTGTGTCAATATCCATCAACTATTTGGCATTTTAACTAAATTTGCTCATCAATATTTTATATTGATGATCGATCAAAATTTCTTGATAAAAAATGGATTCAACAATCTTTGAAAAGTATTTTAACGAAAATGAAAGATTATTAAATACAGAAGAATATTATGATGTAAAAATTTATGTTGGTATAGAACCAAACATTAAAGAAGTTCATGCACATTCATCAATTATATGTGCTCATTGTCCATTCTTTAGAGATGCACTAACTACAGCACAAAAAGAAAATGGATATTATATTATTCAAAAAACAAATATTAGCGAACAAATTTTCAAGCCTCTTCTTAAGTAAGTTATCAAATCATTAAAAATAATATAATGATGATGATGATAATAATAATATTTATTTACTAATTTATTTTGAAAGATTCTTATATGCGTGTAAAATTGAATTGGACAATTATACTGGAGTAGATATGTTAGAAGTATTGATCGGAGCAGATGAACTAGGACTTGAGTTGCTTTATGAGCATACAATGAAATATTTTATTAAAAAACATGAGGATTACATAAAAGAAAATCCAGTCAAAGTACTAAAATCCATTTACTATAACGAAAAATTCAAGGAGTCGAAAGATATCTACTTGAAAACATTTTGTAGTTATAGCGAAAAGTTATTTCAATCAAGTGAATTTGAATCATTGGAAAAACCAATTTTATTGGGAATTCTTAAAAGAAGCGATTTTTGTGTTGACGAAATAATTATTTGGGAAAATATTCTTAAATGGGGATTAGCAAGACATCCAACAATCACTGGTAACAATAATAGTAATGTTGAAAATTGGTCATCGCAAAATTTTATTGATTTAGGCAACACTTTAAATGATTTTATTGCTTTGATTCGATTTCAGGATATTTCCAAGGAAGATTTTTGTAAAAAAATCATACCATATCAAATGCTTTTTCCTAAAGATTTATGGAATAACCTTTTAAACTATAATATAATTCCTAATTATAAATCGACTTTGGAATTTTTACCATCAAGAAATCGGAAACTTGAATTAATAAATTCACAACCTCCTGAATCAAACCTTGAATCAGCAAGCACACAACCCGAATTGCAAATTGAACAAGCAAGTATACAATCTGAATTAATGGATCCACCAATTGAACCAGAAACTCCACACCCTGAATTAATAGATTTGTCAGTAAAAACACAACCTGAATCGATTGACTTGATAAATTCAAAACGTGAATCAGAAAAGGTACAACTTGAATTAAGAAATTCAAAACTTGAATCATTGACAATCAATCAAAACCTTACTTTGCTTTTCGCAAGTTGGATTGATAGAAAAAGTACACCGTATAATTCATTCAATGAAGTGAAATACAGATTTCATCTTATATATCGTAGTAGCAGAGATACTGAAGATGTAAATACATTTCATCAAAAATGTGATAATACTTTCAAAACTTTAGTAGTTGCTAAGGTAAAGAATTCAGATCAAATAGTCGGTGGTTATAATCCATTGAATTGGAATGGATCTGGACATAAAAAAACATCTGAAAGTTTTATATTTAATATAACCAATAGAAATGATACCAATACTGCACAAATAAGTTATGTTATCGATAATCAATATAAATCTGCAATTTATTGTAGTCCTTCTTCTTTACCTCAATTTGGTAATCTTAGTTTTAATTATGATTTTTATACTAATAATAATATTTGTATTTCTCGTACATTCATTTATAATAACATCATTACATCTAATGGTATATTTGATGAACTAGAAGTTTTTCAAATAATTAATAAGTGAATGAATAATGACAAATTAAATAACAGTATTATAAATTTATTTTTTTATTGATAAATAATAAGAGCTAATTGATTAATTATAATTGTTGGCTAAAACTTTAACAAAAGACCAATACGTGTGTATATATGGACATGCCATATACACTCACTGGTCATAAATATAAGGACACTTGCAGATCATTGGAAATAATTGAACAAAGAAACATGAAAAAAAATA